ATATATATATATATATATATATATATATATATATATATATATATATATATATATATAAAGGAAACGAAAAAAAAAGAACCCCATGTTGTCACCTCAAACAGAAGAAGTAAACAAGATAAAAAAAAAAAAATATATCATTTTCATTATGTCAAGAATGGGATTCGAACCCATGCCCTTTCGGACTAGTACCTGAAACTAGCGCCTTAGACCAACTCGACCATCTTGACGTGATGTTATGATGCAGATCTAACACTAGTAATGGATAAATTGACATCCCCACGCCACATTACCACACGTCGATGATACTATCATGTGTAATAAGGCTGCTATCCTTTCATAACAAGTTGATTTACTCGACACAATCCAAATCGGTACATGTGGTTGATAATCACTGCCCAATTAACAAGCAAAGAAACATGATGGCCTGCAACTAAACTCAACAAATTGGTAGGATGTGTTCTTCAGGACATCCTCTTTGGCAAAACCAAGATTTTATTCCCTCCAAAAACATATGGAGCCAAGACAATGCACTTCATTTGATCCCACAGGCTCGGTTGTAAAACAATCACTTTGGAAACTCTGGACTAATTCTTAGCTTCCTGTCTTTAAATCACATGAATTAGGCATATCTATTGCAAATCAGCTGCATGCAAGTCTTGCAAATGTTAGATAGCCCGTGTGTCCTCTCGTCTCTCGGCATGGCCTAGCTATGATGGTAGAAGTTGTAGTTGTTATCTCCTTGCTATCGTTGTTGACATCACGTGAAATGCATTGTCGTCTCTTGCGAGGGAGGGATCCGACAGGGCTGTCCTGGACACCTTCTGTTCCGATCATTCTTTCTTCTCGGACTTCATAGGAACGAAGTAGAACCTCAAATGTCCTTATATCTGCAGTTGAGCACAATAGGACACAATCAATCTACATGAAAAAGGTGACCACATATCTTTTAATCAGAATTAAATAATGAGTTCTCTGGAGTTCATGAACCAGCATAATCCACTTAACCTTGCGAGGACAATACAAAAAAGTAAGAGGAAAATAAAAAAATTGAGTTATACTCTTCGTTACACTTGGAACTCTAATAAAAGTGATTCATTAGCTAAACAAATAGCTGACAGAAACAAAATAAAAGCAAAAGCAAAAATCAGGAGGAGCTAACAAGTGACAAGTACTAACTAAAAACCTTTCCAACTATATACTGCTTCAAGATGAGATGTCCAATTTTGTAAACACAAACTTCAAGCAACTAAATACTTCAGAGGAAGCAACAAATCAGGCTTTTCAGGTAAGTAACGAGGTACGGTAAAATATAATCCAGTCGATCTCCAAAAATCCAAGAGTAGGTAAATGTGGATCAGAAGAGTCTGACTCAAAGCGACAGGAAATCAAAGAGTTGTGCTCCTTTATCTTGAGAAATTATTAGCAATAAAGCAAGGCATTATATTGGAGGAATTGCAAACAGGCAGCTCAAGTCTTTATTTCAAGTAAAGCTCAAGTCTATATATCTTGAATTAGTTTGAGGGGAAAAAAGGCTTAGAAGTGCATATGCAAAGCATTGGGTTTTCATACCAAAGGCAAAGAAAAAGCACAGAGACGCTGACTTAAGGCAAATGGCAGTATAAAGATGGACGACCTGTAAAATCTGCTCCAAGAACCTCACAAGAGCGCTGCACTTGCTCAATGCATGGAGAGAACGAGCACAATACACCGTCTTGCTTCAGCATTCTTCGAACAGATGGCAACGCTAACCAAGGTTGGGGGAGATCAAGGAACACTGAATCGGCAGCCCCACAAAATTCATCAGGAAAACCTTCACCTTGAATGTCTCGAACTGTGACTGTAATCAAGCTGCTCATCCCATTCCTCTCAAAGTCTTCCCTGCAGAGGCGAAAAAGCCAAAATTAGAACTTATAAGAGTTTATCAAAATACCATGTGAATATCGAAGTGTGGATACAAAGGGGTTTGCAAAAATATCATGATCCTCGAGCATGTTAAAAACCATTCTATACAGCGCGCGAGTATTACGCAGGATAAAAAAAACAGATATGATTTCACAAATGGTGTTACCTTTCGGATAAAGAAACAATGAACAACTTCAGGGTCTTTCGGAGTAGCCAACACAAACGCAACCCACTAAAAAATAGTGACCTTTTGACAATACAATGCAGGATTAGATAGCTTACCTAGCCAAGGAAGCTCTTTGTTCGTGGAAGTCGAATGTGTAAACATGGCCAGAAGGCGCCACAGCTCTAGCAAGAGAGGTGGTAAGAGATCCGCTCCCCGTGCCAGACTCGAGAACCACGCAGCCGGGGACAACTTCCAGGTACGAAATCACAAAGCTAATATCCGCGAGGTACAAAATCTGAGTTCGGTGGCTCAAAACCAAGGTCCATAGCTCCGGCGTGGGGGCTAACAGATGCACGAACCCGCCCTTGTTGCTCAACACCTTGGTCCCGAACGGCTTCCCTATCCAATCCGAGTGCTTGAAGACCCCAAACCTGTTCTGGAAGTCCGAGCCGTTCTGCACTCTGACGGCCTTTACCTTGTCGTGCCTCTCGTACACGATAACCAGATCCCCGTCGCAGATGCGGCGCTCGAGGGAGCTCCGCTTCGACGGATCGATGGACAACATGACGGCGGCGGTGTGAAGGATGTTTCAACGGGAATGCTCGGAGAACATAGAGCAGGGGTGGAGGGTCGTGAGATGGGTCGGTTAGGGTTTGGGATTTAAGACGACCCGACCGAGGGAAGCAGATCGGCAGGGAATTTTACCAGGGTCAGGGCTCGAGTGAATTGGAGCTGAACCGGGTTCGGATTGGGTCGGACAGAACTCGAGTGAATTAGAGTTAAACCGGGTTCGGATTGATCGGTTGGCTTGAACCGAACCCTAACAACTTCATGTTAACGTGTACCATTATGTTGTTGTTAGAATTAGTTTCTAGATTTTCGTAGTTTATTAATTATCTGTAATGTTCTCTTGCACTGAGACGTATGCTTGTGTCTCAACAGAGACCTATAAATAATATACCATGTTACTAAAAACATTTTTTATATGGGATTCTGGTTAAATAGTTGTTATCATTTTACCATGATATTTATTAGTCACAAATTTAAGGTTTTACATACATTATATAATATTTTATTTTTTATGTGGCATCTTGTTGCATATACGATGTTTTCATTTCCAAACATGCATCGTAGGATCAAAACTAAGAGTTTATCTAACTTAGCTCTTGATGATCACACAACCATGTGAATCCTGTTAGTCAAACAATAATAGGTTCATCCCCTAATTGAAAGAAAACAAGGAATTAAATTAATCTCTGAGGCAAACATATAATAGTGATATGGAACTCACTGCACTTATATTCCACTAGATCTAAATCATAGGTGTTTTGTTATCTCATCAACACACATACGCTGCAAAATCATGGCAAGAAAAGAGGATCCAATGACGACAACCATAGATAATACATGAAAATATTAGACCTTAGTTCAAGCAACCAAAAATGTGTAGTCTTTGACTAAAAACAGGCATTCATATTAAAAAAAAAAAGATGGGAAGAATACAGTAATACTGAGAATTAGAAGCCTTTTAATAGGAAACTTGTGTTGGACAAACATGGAGAGCTGAAAATTTTAGCAATTCAACTCTTTATTTAAGAAGTAAATATCATAAATTTTCAGAATCCGATATTGCTCATAAACTATTTTTATCTTTCAAAAAAATACCAATAAACATATCATCAGCTAATAAGAAATTGAGAGGGTAGCGAATCTCAGTAATTCTCTCTCTTGAAAAAAATCAAGTTCAAGAAGTTGTAGTAAAACAACAAGGTAGATTAGCAAACTAAAATATTAAAGCTATATACAAGCATGTACTTAATTTTAGAGGTCTCCTCATGGGGGAATTATATTAAATATTTGGTGTCTATATGAAGCATAATTTTTATATGACAATTGCAATTTAATAAAAAATGTACAACCCTCTTCACACACTTGAATAAGCTAAAAAAGCCTGTAGTCCAAGTAAATAGAAATACAAACCTATTGTTCCAAATACATGAAAAGGGTACCCCACAAGAGTGGAGTGAAATCTACAAGATTACACTATCTGAACTCTGAACAACATTTCTGAGGCACTTGAATGCATACCAACTGACAGAGAACATGAAAAGTAAAAACCTATAGAGAAGCACGCAATTGAGTATCAAAGAAAAAGAAAATGGGAAGGCACAGAAATGGAGATACCAAATTTAACACCAAAGCATATGAACAACTTTGTCACAAACAGTAGAAGTTATTATAAGTTCCAAAGAATTATCACAGAATTTGGTGCTAATTCAATGATCAAAGGATGGAAAGACACATTATTTATCATGTGTATGACAGTTTGAACACTTAGGCTACAGAAAAAAATCCTTAAAATCCTTCGCTCAAGAACAGCCCATAACATATGACCTGCATAAAATTATCTGATTATCTAGCACTATCATAGAAAAACTATCACTTCATCACAAGAATTATATTGTAATGGAAGAGAGATATTATACTAACAATACCAAAGGCATTGGATATAGTAACAGGAAACATTCTGACCATTTTGCCACGATGAGAAGCATTATATATTGTCAAACATCAAAGGAAAATGCATTAACAAGATGTTCCGCTAAACAATTGATACGGCAAAGGATCAGTCAATTTATTCAACAAGGTTAAAATTCACAGTGAGGCACAGTCTGTTAGAAGAACTAGATGTCAGGCCACCTTCATTCTAAAAGAATCAGCAAAAACACTCAACTTTTAGCGCCAAACAGAAGTGATACATATGCATAAGAACATAATTTTCGGTGGCTGGTGAATATTTATGCATCAAAGTCAATACCATTAGCAATATTGAAGTCCTATAATAGACCTACACCAAGTCCATTTACCAGGTAGTAAAAGGACGAGATAAGGGAATCCATATACCTATATACATTCTACTCGACATACAATCTTCACATCAAGCCAAAAGCTAATCCAACAATTACATGCACAGCAATCAAATGTTACGATTCAGAGGATCAAGCTAAAAAGTAATCCAAACGCAAAACTATAGAAATGATGGAAAACAAGCAACCATAGAAAGCATTTTAGAATAAAAAGAAAACAAATTGCCAAATGTATCATCATCCATCATCCTTATCGAGATAAAACAAAGCTAGAACTGCAAAGACAGGACGCCCCTGATCATTTGTCCTCCACGTACAACTAGTTCCAAGTATGAAAACCTAATTTTTTTTTGCTTGGGTAGTCACAAATCCTTAAATCGGGCGAGCAATCACCCGCTCACTCACCTTGCGCCTTCTGGTAGACGTAGGTGAGGCCGCACTTGCCGCAGTAGTGGCGGTCAAAGTGGTTGGCCATGAAGGTGCCAGCGCCGCACTCGGCGTTGGGGCACTCCTTGCGGAGGCGGGTGACCTTCCCGGTGGCATCGTCGACCTTGTAGAACTGGAGCACGGCGAGCTTGACCTTCTTCTTCTTGTGCTTGATCTTCTTGGGCTTGGTGTAGGTCTTCTTCTTGCGCTTCTTGGCGCCGCCGCGGAGGCGGAGGACGAGGTGGAGGGTGGACTCCTTCTGGATATTGTAGTCCGCGAGGGTGCGCCCATCCTCGAGCTGCTTCCCGGCAAAGATGAGGCGCTGCTGGTCAGGCGGGATGCCCTCCTTATCCTGGATCTTGGCCTTCACGTTGTCGATGGTGTCCGACGACTCCACCTCGAGGGTGATCGTCTTCCCCGTGAGAGTCTTCACGAAGATCTGCATCTTGCCGGCGGGGGGTAGCGGCCCACGGACGCGGCGCCGCTGACTTAAGTTACGACGGCCGAAAAACGCTCTTAGGGTTTCGAGGGATTCAACTCGATTATATATAGTAGACACAACGATATGCTACCTCGCGAGGCATTGAGACTAAGGTAGATCATATGATCTGGAACGTTGATTTGGTGATTATCGCTCATCATCAGAACGTTGATTGGCACTACATATAATTTTTCACTTCTAGAAACAAAATCTAAAAAAATGATACGTTATGCTCCATCCTCTACTCTCTCGTCTCCAATCCATGTATATTGATATTTGAGCATCATGTGATATGAGCTAATTTTTGCTATGATCGTGCTTCTATTTGTGATGACTTGTTAAGCATATATTATTACTATTCGCAAACGAAGTGATGCCATGTTATAAATTACTCCACATGAAAATATTAATTATTAATATCGCATGAAATTATCACGTAAGATCAATAATAGTAGTAGGACTTGGACATCATGCGTTGGTTGCATAAATTATAGAATAAGCATATTTGAGTTCTAAAGTGTTGGAATTTTGATAAATTTGTTTAATAAAATATCATCATATTTTATTTTATCATATAAGTATGTAGCACGTAAGATTAGATTAGGAATATTAATAGGACGGAAAAGGATGGGGAGTGCTTCTTGTGCTATCATCCCTTGTCTCTACCTCATTCTTTGTGGGCAGAGACTCATGGATTCTCTATATAATCTTAATTAATTAATTCTATTAAAAAATAATTAATAATATCAAATTTTATATAATAATAATAATAATATTTATAAAATTTATTCATCATAACAATATTTATATTTTTATCTAAATATAAATATAACCAAATATATTCGATGAAGATTGAAAAGCCTAAATTGTTGATGGTTGAAGGGTTGTATTTGTTGGTCAGGAGATTGAAAAATAAAAATTAGGAAATAAGATATAAGTGACAAATCTCGATTAGGTTTTGAACTTTTGATGAAATTTTTTTATTTTTCTTTTAATATAAAAATTTTAAATAAAGTAAAATTTTAAATACAATATTTATT